TGAAGACAAACAGCTCCTTTTGAAGATGGACAAAAAAAAGGTGAGTGCCTGGCTCAGAATCAGAAAGCAACAGTGACCGAGCCAGGGCCCGTAAAGCTGCAAGTGTCTCCCTGATTTAACTAATGCCCCATCCAAGTATGATGGTGCTGGAAGAATCACACATGTGAATGGGGGAAACCTGCATTTTCCAGTTCATAACAATGAAAACTATGTAACACGGGCAGAGTTTGCACAGTGACTTAATCGGGTCTTCCCAACGCCCCCTGAGAACCGATCGGAAGCTATCATAAGTCTTTTCTCCGAATGAGAGCAGCAGAGAATGCAGGACATTACTCACGGTGTCAAGTGAGTCGGGGCCACAGCCAGCCCTTCAAAGTCTTTCCACTGGGCAGCACTAGAAGAGCCCCTCTCAGTGAAATCACGGGGAGCTATGATCACCAGATGCTTTGTATGGTGCCATGTACCCAGCCTGCTAAAGGACAGGCAAGGGGACTTTGGGACCCATTTCTTCACCCCTGGTGAATGCCGATTTTTTTCTTGTCACTACTGAGTGAAGAGACAGCCTTTTCCTGCAGCTTGAAGGGACTGTCGCCACTCACGGAAGCCCAGCTCCCTCCTCCCACTGACTCAAGACCTTCCAGCAGTATGCTCACAGCTGGGCCACACAGGCACACGGCTCAGTGTGAAGAGCAGAGCTCACCAGAGGGCGCAGCAAAGGGGTCCACAGAGAGCACAGAAGTCCAGATGGGGCACTGTGGGGTCGAAGCCCTACTTGTTTCTGCCTTCAGTTCTCCAGCAGGTCACTTAGCTGTCCTGGCTTCCGGCTGCCTCACCCCCAAAAAACCCCCTGAACCCAGGAAAAAATTCATCTGTGTTCAGATCCTCTGTCTGAAGGAAGGCTTTATTTGGTCTCCCCAATCGTCCTCCCATACTTTATAGTTTTTGTATTTAAGCCAATTGCTTCTAGTGTCAACCTAGGATCCATGGGATTTGTTTTGTTTTGTTTTGTTTTGTTTTGTTTTGTTTTGGCAGGGTAGGGGGTTACCTGAGAACCTGGCTGAGAGTTGACTACATTTTCACTTACCTCTAAGTAAATTCAGTGTTACAGTGGTGATAACAATATCTGTGTCTCTGTAACTAACAGACCTCAAAATATTCTCATATCCTATCCGTGGATGCAGCCCTCCTGAAATGTTTTTTGCACCATCAAAACTTGGAAATTATGGTACTTATTACAACTGCCTAGTGGATGCATTGTTAAAGGCAGTAATAGATGACCATGTTACACGCTTCTTTTTGGATTCTTTCAATAACTGAATTTCAGTAAAAATCACTTCCTCTATTGACCTGTGTGTGTCAATGTATATGAATTGGAGGACACTGTAAGAAAGAATCCATGGGCTTTACCCTCTGCTAGATAGGACCTCGGCACAGAACAGCCTGGGGCTCCTGGGCCCAGAGGGAGCAACTGCTATCCTTGCCACTCTCCTGCCCATCTTTTGTCAAGTGTAAGAACTCACATACCCTCCACGGAACCTCGTTCTGTGAAAGTAAAGAGCTGGGACAGGAAGTGATTACAGCCAAGGGTGTAACCAGGGTTGTATTACTAGATGTCTCTGAGTTTCCAAGTCCTTGTCACCACTGTGAGGATAAACACATCCACTGTGGGTTCCAGCGAAGTCGTGTAAAGAGCTCAGTGTGGTACCTGAGACCTGCTGGCTCTATCCTAAAGAGTGGCTGTCATCACGATTACAGAGGAGGAACTTGTAGTCGCATTATAGTCCGTTTTAGAAATTATAGGTAACTCTGTGGTCTCTCTCCGATCTCCATTCCTCTCAACAGAAATGGCCAGGAGTTTGGGTTTGTTTTCTTTCTCCACATCCATGACTTCTTAGAAGCTATACGGACTTTCCCTCCCCAAGTAGAGAGCGTAGGAGGAAAAGATAAAAGCCTGAGGGGCTGGCAGCAGTGGTCCCAGCTGGCTGAGCAGAGCTGGGCAAGACCAAGCAACCATGTCTCCATGTGCATGTGTGTGATTTATATTCTTGCATGGTTGGGGGAAGTGGCTGAGATTTCACAAGCTGTACCTGACAGATAATTACACCAAGACAAATAGCACCCTGCCTTACCCTTCTCCTGGTATGGCAACCTCTCGATTCTGAGGAGGCAAGGGGTGCACAGGCAGCATGGTGTGGCCAAAGGGAGGGGGCGATGCTGGGGCCACTGACCCATTACTCATCTACAAGCTGGAGTGGACAGTGGAGCTGGGGAGAACTCCAGTGAGCTCTAGCTGGCACACGAACAGGCTTCTGGGCTGGGCAGTGGCCCCCTTAAAAGACACCACACACAGGGAAGACGTATGCCCCCCCTCCCTGTCCAAAGTGGGTTACTCTATGGAGGTCAGGAAGCCAGAGCCCTTAGGGCAGTGCCCACCAAGCACAGGATTCTCCGCAGCGCCTCCTGGGGACATTCAGAGCTGAAGGGAACAAGTTTTTTAGAGTTTCTCTTTTCCTGGACTCCGGCCCACACTCTTCCCATTCCTGCTGTCCTCTTCTTTTCCTTTCCCAGTTCTATTACAGTCTTTTGTGTTACATATTATGTACGCTTTTTAATGTTCCCAGGCAAAAACCTGGGGAAGACAGTATATAGTTTCCAAAACTCCAACACTTAAAGTGGTGGTGGTTTTTCACTATATCTTGAATTTGTAATTATTTTCTGCTGACCAGCAGGGAAGCTAGTAAAAATATATCAAGCCTATAAACATTAAAGGTTTTTTTTCTTCAAAAGAAAAGCAGATTACTCAAGCACAGGGAGCATGAGGCCTTTGTTCTAAAATTTTCGAAAGTTGAAGAAGAGCCTCGACGCATCTGTGACACGGAAAAACCCATCTTCTGCAGAGGAGTTTTGTGGCGCACAAGCCACGTCACTCAGTTTTTTCATGGAGCATCCACTAAGCATCTGTCTGGTCCTGAGTGTGGCACAGATTGGTCCACATGTCATCAGAGAGAAGAGCTGAATATGTGAGCAGCCCATGAGAGGCACCATCAAGGCAAGAATGGTTGATGTTGTCCGTTCGGGGATCAGGGAGAGCTTCAGTGATGGGCTTTGTGATCCATGCTCAACTGTTGGGGCATTCTTGAGCACAGACTTTGGCCTCCTCCAGTCCCTTAAAACAGATGCCACCTGTGAGACTCCCTGTGTCATTTGGTCTGTATAATTAATAACCTACCAGCCTCCAGTTCACTCTTCTCTCTGGCCTCCTCTGAATCCCTAAGCAAGATTACCAACCATCTCTGTCCCCACAGTCAAATCACCCATGGTCATACCTGCTTCCCACAGGATTTCTGGGCCCTACTGGCAAGGATGGCCTCTTCCCTCCCCAGTCCCAGTTGAACTGACACTGGTGTACTCAACCACTGAACTGGCTTCTCCAATCAGTGTGGGTCTCTCTTGTGTTCCTTTCTTCTTCTGTGCCCTTCTATTTGGCTTCTGCTCTACCTCCTCTCTTTCTCTCTGCGTGTCTCCTCCTCCCTGCCTTTTTATTTTCTCTCTTAAGGTCTATAACTGAGGAAAGATTCCTCCCCCCAGCCCAGGCCAGGCCTTCTCAGCTACACTCAGCTTCCTGTGGTTCTTGCCTTTGCTTGGCCCCTTCCTATTTCCCCAGAGCTAGGGTCTGACTCTGCCAGGGGCTCCCAAGTCCCGCCCAGCCTCAGCAGCAGCCCTGTTCTGCACAGCCCCAATCTACACTCCCATCCAGATACACCCCCACACAGATGTCACAGTGCACATGCATGCACTGACACAAGCCCACGGACCCCGGCTCCCCCAGACATTTTGCTCTTCTTCCTAAATAACGTAGGGGATACTTGAGACTAAACTGCTACCACTACCACCCTGCCCTACTAGAAATTCCAGCAGAGCTCAGGAGACACAGTCCTTAGACAACAGGCTTGGTGGAGATTCAGCTCAAAAGACTCAGGCTCCCCACAACACAGCTCCTCCCTGCACTCCAGCACACAGGTTCCTAAGGCAGCTGGACCAGAGGTCTCGGGGTCACGCTGGTCTGAGCACTACTTCTCAAGCATTCTCCTCCACAGACTCTGCTGCCTTTTCCCAATACTCCTTATAGCTCCTTATATTATACACAGCTCAGTTAGGTAAAAATATTAAAGGCAATCAGACAGAGCTGGGCCCTGTGGAGCGTCAGTACAGGAAATAAGAACACATTACAACTGTGGCCAGAGACCCATCTGTTAGAGGTCAGGCCTCAAGATAATGACAAAATGACCAGGTCTACCTGCCTCCTCTAGACATAAACAATAAATTAACATTAATACCAGTTGTCCTGGTTGGTGGCCAGGGACACCTGGTTCATCTCTTCCTAGAAAGATCCTTGTTCTTTCCATGTACACTTGCTATGTGACCTTTTCGCCAGTTAATCAATATTACCTAAGAGGCTAAATTTACTAGTTAATCAGTTTTGAATCAACGTTGTGCTCTTTAAAACTTACTCTATAAAATGGGATCCATGGCAACCCATTTTTGAGGTTCCCTCCTGTTTCTCAAAAGCTATCTCTCTCTCAATAAGTATTTCCTACTCTTAACCTCTGTTCCTTAAAATTCACCCTTGGACTTTGGGAAACACAAACTCAGCATATCCGACATCCAGGAAGTTGGGAGTTACATTATTTCCCCTGTATCACTTGTAGGGCGCTTTCAGCTTCATCCACACTGAAGACTTGCCTTTCGAGTACCCTCTGGCCCTGACCATCAGCCTTTGCTTTTTAATCATCCTGAGACTCCCTACCCCACCCACCTTGTTCTTGGGCTCAAACTCCCATCCAGCTTCTATTCCACTGCTGTCTAGACACACAGCTGCCCCAAAGGCCTCCTGCTGGCCCTCTTCCTTCCTGTCCTGGCCTGTTCAGCATACCCTGGACATTGCTTAGGTACTCTTCCCACGACAGTCATCCCAAACACACCACTGTGTAGGACGTCCGGGTTGTGCACCATGGATTTACATTCTGTAGGACCTCCAAGTCCACACCATGCAACCTCCTTATTTTACAAAGGAAGCTGAGACAGGAGAGGTGAGAAAAGTGGTCAGGACACAGCTCAGGCACTGTATAGCCTCTTCCAGTTTAGGAGCTGTCCTGGGGGTTCTCAGCCAGGGTGGTCAGCTAGCAGCAGAGACCTCATTGCTCACACCAAACAGGCAGGCAGACTGGATTCCTCGCTCCTGCTCCCTAGAACTCTGGGCTTGCAGAAGGACACATTTCTGCCAGAGGAGGAAGTAGAGGGCCGGACCTTAGGAGACAAGGCTGCTCATTCTTGGATCGGTCTTGGGGAGTTTTCATCACCCGGGAACGACAGGGTGGGCGCCAGAGGTGTCTTTCTGTGGGCCTGGGGACAAAGGTCAGGGTCACCTAAGAAACAATGAGCGGACCAGAGGGAAAGAGGGAGAAGGAGATAGCCCTGGGCGGGTGGGGGAAGCTGAGTGTCCCACCAGGCTGAGTCCTTGCCAGGCGAGATGGCTACCTTGACCATCCGTGTGTGTCCCCCATCTCCTCCCTCACCTTCAGCTTCCCAGCACAGAGAGGACCGACAGGCAGCACGGGTGGAGGAACAGTAAGAATCTGAAGCAGAAAGATAGAAATGGAGGAGACAAAGGAAAACGCTTAAGAAGCAAAGAAGGGCGCAGAAAGGAGGGCAGAGGGAAGGAGGAAGCAGAAAGGCGGGAACCCGCACCGACACCCCCCGCCGAGCACAGGGAAGTGGAGATGGGGGAGGAGCTGGGCCGCGGAGAATGAGCACCTCCGACTCCACCCACCCCACCCGCACCCCCACCCCCGGTGGGCCTCGGGGTCCCGGCTCAGCGCCCCGCGCCCCTCCCCCCGCGCTCCTCTAGGCGGCGCCGGGTCCAGCCACACGCCAGCAAAAGCCATTACAGAGAACAAACTACCTCCTTGTCTCCGAGATGGGTCCCCCGGGCAGAAAGCAAATTGCCTGCCTCGTGCATAACAAACCAGGCGTGGAAAGCCCCGCAAAGGCGCCCCGCCCGCGCCCTCCTCCGCCCGGGTCACAGAGGGTCGCGGAGCGCGGGGACCCCGGGAGGCCCTCGCCCCAGTCCACGCCGAGTTTGTTACTGCGCTGGTCCCAGGGGCCCCCACACCGACCCCTACTCCTCCCGCCCTCGGTGCCTGGCTCCTGAAATTCCTTCCCTCAGAGTGGAAGAGCTGCTGCTGCTGCTGCCCTGTTATCCTTAAAGTCCCCACCCAGAGGTCACACCCTCCTCACTCAGAACAGTCACAAGCAATGGCTTTCTCTTCCTGCCAAGGTGGAAGTTCACTTAGACTCCTAGTATTTAGCGACTACATCACGTGTGCAGCCATTCGTATACAGCTGAGGCTCTGCTATTGGACTACACTCTCCCAAAGGACAGAAAACATAATTTTCTTCTATCCATACCTGCCCCAGAGGCTTAGCGCAGTGTCTAGTCCTGAGTGAATGGATGAATGAATAAGTTTCAAAGGATGAAGCCAGAGCCCCAAATCACCAATCCATCACAGGTTCCTTTCTTCCACTTACTGTTCCCTTTTCGTAATTCCTGTTCTCCCTAAGATACAGCACTGCTACGTAGGAGTGAAGGGCTTTGGGTGGCACTTCCCCGGAGAGGACAACCCATGCTGGGGAGGAATGGGGACCTCGAAGAAGGGGAAGGATACGGATAGCCCAGCCTCTGCCGGAAGGAGTTTTCAGACCGGTGGAGAAGCCACACAAGAAAACAGAGATTCCCAGTATGCTACCGGCATGGGGAGAGAAAGGGGGCGGGGGGGGGGGACCCCGCAGCTTTTCCTAAATCAAGACAGTTAGTCTGTGACCTGGATCTGGAACACAGCATGGGGAAAAGGCGAGGAGCCCTTGGCAGGAGTCTGTAATAGACCCCCGGGTGGAGAAGAAACCAGAGAGAGGCAAAGTACTACATAGAGTGTGCAGAATGATGGTGAATTAATTTAGGAACACTGCAATAAAGGGGTGGGCAGAGGAAAGGAGTAAGGACCCATTCACTCCAGAGAGCTAGCAAGGTAAGAGATGGAAAAGGCTCAAATCATGGAAAGACAAGGGCAGGCTGGGTGGTCTCCTGAAACCTGGAAGGGAAGTGAGGCTGTAGCGAGACTAAGGTCAGTTTATGGATGCTGAAGAGCAGACTGAGGTCAGTTTAGGGGGTCCCCCCCTCAACCAACTTGTTAATGGGCTTAATTTTATCCTGACCTTGACAGAGAGCCATAGAGTGGTTTCAGTGCTGAGAGTATCACATCAGATTTGCATTTTAGAAGGATTATTTCAGCAGCAGAGTCAAGTATGGATTAGATAGGGTCAGGCTAGTGGCAGAAAAATCAGATAAGAAGTTCTGGTATTAACCCAGAGGGGAAAATGAAGAAAGCCTGGACTCAGCAAGCATAATGGAAACAGAGAGAAGCAGCCAGCCTGGAGAGCAAGGAAGGAGAATCAGCAGGTTCTGATGATTGACAGGATGGGGTGAGGGACAGGGAAGAGACAAACCTGGCTCCCAAGGGTTGGAAATAAGTCACCCAGAGAAGAAAAAGTGGTTTTTAGGTAGGGTGTTTTTGTTTTTTTGGTATCAGGAATCAAACTCCCGACCTCACGCTTGCCAGACAGACACTTATACCGCTGAGCTAAATCCCCAGCCCAGGATATGTTTTTTTGAGGTTCGGATTAAAAAATGAAATGTAGAAGAATCGGGGTTGGGGATTTAGCTCAGTGACATAAGCGCCTGCCTTACAAGCGTGTGGTCCTGAGTTCGGATCCTCAGTACCAATAAAAAAAAAAAAAAAGAAGAAAAGAAAAGAAAAATGCAATGTGTGGCCAGCCGTGGTGGTGTATGCCTGTCACTCCAGCACAGTGGGAGACCGAGGTAGCAGATTTGCCAATTTGAGTTCTGCCTGACTAACCTAGTGACTTAGCAAGACAAAACAAAAAATAAAAAAGGACTAGGGATGTAGTTCAGTGTGTGTGAAGGCTCTGGGTTCAAGGTTCAATCCCCAGTATCAAAATAAGAAAAAGAAAAAAGAAGGAACGAACAGTGAAAGAGGGAGAGAGACAGAGAGAGGGGGGAGAGAGAAATGTGTCTACAACTCAGAAAGAAGATGGTTTGGAGGCAGAGGTGTGAGAGCCATTCACATAATTCTGGTTGCTTTAAGACAAAAGAGCTGATGAAATTCTCCTTGAAAGTATAAGTCCAAGGAAAAGAGAGTCCACAGTAAAACAGATGCCCCATTTATGGGACACACATTGGTGAGAAGGGTGGTTCGAGAGCTGGGGGGGAATGAAATCTGAGGTGACACTACAGAGCAAAAGGGGAGCTTGGAAGGACAGTTGTTACTGTTGGATGCTCTAGATAGGTCAAGGCAATGTCAGGAAAATTGTGCGGAAAAACTCTACAGGGGACAGACGGTCACTGAGTGTCCTATCTAAATTACCCCTCAGAGTTCATCTCAACCTCACATCCTCTAAGAGCTATTTTGCAACTCTATAGATAGCAGAAAACTGAACTCCCCATGATGAATGTAATCATTATGTACTGCAAACTTGTACTAATAAAAATAAAAATTAAAAAAAGAAAAATGCAGATGATTCTTGCTCATAGAAATGCAAATTAGTTGTCTAGTGGAGTGCAATTGATTAGCGCCCTGTGGATAAACTAGTTTTATATCTATTTGTAAATTCATTTGTTTCAGAATTCCTGGCTGACCTATATAAGTATGGTACTTGGAATTTTCCTTTGAACCAACTGAAAAAAGTTACAAATTACTCATTAACTAATGGATTAAATACAACTTTTGACACATTTTCATTTTATAGTTGTATGAAAATTATGATTTAAACTTTGTTTATGAAATCATCCTATTGGATATCACAAACTTGGAAAAAAAAAAAAAAAAGAAAGAAATCATCTTACAACAACCTTGGAGAAGCAGTGTGCATTTGTAATTCCAGCCCTTAGGAGGCTGAGACGGGGGATCACTGTGAATTTGAGACCTGCCCAGGCTATTAGTGAGTTTAAGGCCAGCCTAAACTGCATAGTGAGACCCTGTCTCAAAAAGCAAAAACAAAACAAACTACCTATAGCAGAAGAAAATAACTGAAAACTGTCCAGTGAATGTGATAACTACAGCAAAATCTGTTTGGTACGCTTACAAAAGTGAAAAAAGATAACAGTGTTGGGAAGAGAGGTGAGGAAACAAACAAGATGAATTTCAAGAACCTTAGCTGTGGGGCTGGGAGTTTAACTTAGCAGCATAAGCACCTGCCTGGAAAGCTCCGGGTTGTGAGTTCAATCCCCAATATGAAAGAAAGAAAGAAAGAAAGAAAGAAAGAAAGAAAGAAAGAAAGAAAGAAAGAAAGAAAGAAAGGAAGGAAGGAAGGAAGGAAGGAAGGAAGGAAGAAAGAAAGAAAGAAAGAAAGAAAGAAAGAAAGAAAGAAAGAAAGAAAGAGAAAGAAAGAAGAAACTTAGCTGCGATGGGAAGAGGTATATTTTCTGGAGAGTGCCAAATTGTAAGAGGAAGGCTTTTTAAAAAATAGACGACTTCATCATGCTGCTAAGAGCTGGCATGCCAGTTACTCTTTACATTGACAATAACTGTGATGGGTATCAAATGACAGAGGTACAAATAGGGGGTGTTAGGTGGCAAAGGAGAAGCATTTAACTTTGGCGTCGTGGGCCAGGAGGTATTAAGAGGATAACCTCTGATATGAGTCTTAAATAAGAGTGAAACAAGCCTCCTAAAATGATCATGGAGACGCAGAGCTAGTCAAAGGAGTGTGCGGAGTCAGCACCGGATCTAATGAGGAAGGCACACAGCATATGCTTACTGGCCCTGGACTTGCCACGAGCACTGTAGATTCAAAAGCTGTGTGTGCCCGGCACAGTGGCATACATCTGTCTGTAATCCCAGTGCTGTGAGAGGATAAGGCAGGAGAATCAAAAGTCTGAACCCAACCTGGACAACTTAGCAATTTATTAGGTACTCATTTCAAAATAAATGAAAAAAGGACTGGAGATGTAGTTCAGTGCAAAGGTCCTGGGTACAGACCCCAGTACCACACACACACTACACACACACTATACACACACACACACACACACACACACACACACACACACGGTCCTGTATTCGGGCCTGGATTTGGGGATGCTTAGCATGTATGAGGACCTAGATCTGATTCCCAGAATCACCAAAAACAGCAATAACAAAAACAACTAAAAAGCAGGAAAAAAAAAAAAAGTGTTCTGAATGAAAATTCCATGTAGGACATTTGAAATTGTATTTTTCTGAAAATCAAGTTTGCTTAGTTGACACAATCGGATATCCCAGAAAGACATCAGGATCACAGAAGCATAGATATTAGTGCTTAGAGGGAAACTCAGAGATCATTGATCCAATCTCCTGCCTTTTAAAAAGCCATTCCAATCCTCTAAATTTCAAACTCCTGTTTTATAGTTAAAAAATCTGAAGGTGTTTCCCTTCCCTGGGGTTCTTCAACATTATTGACATTCCACTACCTGAATCCGGATCTGCACAACCAGCGCATGGACCTCACCCTGAATACCAGAATTTTTCTCCTCAATCTACCCAAATCCCAGTGGTGATATATACTTGCCTTGATGTGTGTGGGATGTGTGTGTGTTTAAGGACCACGGAGAGTTTAAATGCAAGAGGAGATTGTTGCAAGGTGGGCTTTGTGTCTTCCCACCCAAAAAGGACTGATTCTTGAACAATAAGGTCCATTTTTCTTTTCTCATCCTTGTGAGGAACTGGCCTTTCAAAAGGAGAAACTGGAATTTCAGCCTCTTTTCATGGCATGTAGCCAGAGCCAAAGGGACAAGCATCAAAAAAAAAAATTGTTTTAATAAGTGAAGAGACTGTTAATAGCCCTTTAGGTTATTGGAAGGAGAAAGTTGGAGCCCAGGGCCTCCGAGGCCGGAAGCTTCTTGAGTTTATTTGCTGAGCTTTTCTGCTAGCTGGCCCTCGGGGTGTAGAAGAATGAGGAGAGGCAGAATTCCCTGAAGGGCTAACTTTAGAGGCCCATTATTCTGAGAGCTGCCTGTAATCACATATATGAGAGAGCCTGGCATATTTACATAGTCAGTATCAGCTTCCTCCCCATCATAAACCCCACTGTTTGTGTTCTCAAAACCTCAGGTGGTTCCATTGAAGGAAGGGGTTTGGCAGTGAATCCCTCGACAGAACATCACAGAAAACGAGATCAGTGTGGCTACAGGGGCAACCTCAGAGAGTTTTTTCATCCCTTCCACCGTGAGCAAACATAGAAAGAAGGTACCATCTAGGAACCAGGAAAGAGCTTCTTATCAGACACCAAGTCTGGACTGGAAGCCTCCACCACTGTAAGAAATACATTTCCATTGTTTAGAACAAATCAGATTATGGTATTTTGTTACAGTAGTCCCAATGGACTAAGATTAGCTTAATTTCCTAATATTAATGGTAAAGCTATGAGCAAATTCTTTTTTTTTTTTTTTTTAAGGGCTTGCTACCAATACTGTGCTGTAGAGGAACAGACTCCAGCAGCACAAGCACTGCATGCAGAGTCTGTCTGTCCGGTGTGGGAGTCTACAGGGTTCCTGGGCTGGGGACAGCGAGATCATGTGCAGTGGTAGGATGCAGGTACACATCTAGTTATGCTCACCCTTTCTTCTTCTGCTATGAGAGTATCATCATCCCTATTT